TACAAATCACCAGGAAGTAGATTATTTAAAATGTAGAGTGGGACTAATTAAGTCTGGGCGAGCCTGAGATTCTGTATTTCTAACAAGCTCCCAGAGGCTTGCTGATGCTGTTGGTCCATGGACTCCACTTCGTGCAGCAGGTTTTTACTAAATTTGTTTTCAGCTCAAACTCGCACCCTTACTGATACTTACAAATTCTGTCATCAAAAATGGGAAAGCAGGGTATATAAATAAAACAATACCAAAACACACAAGGAGGAAATTTTCCAATTTTTCCGGAATTACAATTACCTATTGTTTTCTAGGAAAAAAACCCAGCTGATGTTTAATTTTTAAAACTTAAGATGAGTTAAAATTGCGTCGAGCGATATTTTATTATCCTGTAAGAGGCCTAGAGTTAATTGGAGACACAGAGATGTGTCATAAAACTAGATTTGGAAATCACTCCACAAGGTAGTCATATCTTCAGGTGCACGATTAGCATGGAGGTGTAAGGGATGTAGGCGGCAGGAATGGTAACTTCCTGGCTAAATTTACTTTCCTGGAATCCCTTCCTCATACAATTCCTATCTCTTTAAGTAAACGAAGCAAAGAGATAAAGTAGAGCTAGATAAAGACAGAAGCAGAGCAGTCCTCCAAAAATATAGTAACATTTGCCAACAATAGAAGCCCTAAAGACTAGTGTCTAAGGCATCTCCGGTTGCCAAAACAAAATACCATAGCCTGCATGGCTCACTTAACAAACATTTATTTCACACAGTTCTGGAGGATGGGAGGTCCAAGGTGCTGATAGATTCCGTTCTTGATGAGGGCCTTCTTCCTGCCTTGCAGATGGCTGCCTTTTCTGTTTCCTGACACGATGGAGAAGGAGCTCTGGTGTCTCATCTTCTACTTATAAGGACACTAATCTCATTTGGGGGGCCATGATGACCTCAAGTAAACGTCCTCAAGACCTTACCTCCTCAAGACCTCACCTCCTAACACCATCATCTAATTACCTCCTCAAGACCTCACCTCCTAACACCATCATGCCAGTGGTTAGGGTTTCAGTACAAGAATTTGAGGGGGACATAAACATTCAGTCCATTACAACTAGATAAAGATTCTTCTAGATAAATGATTTAGCTTCCATGATGGGAGTCTGTCCATTCCGGGCAAAAGTCCTGTTGTAAGTAGTGGTATTCGCTGTAATGAATGTGTGCCATTGTAAGCTCTGACGGACAGCAGAGCAGGAGTAACATTCTCCTTTCTCCGTAGAACCTGGAGGATCACACGTTTTGTTGGTTAGAGAAGCAGATGCATAGCAAGCCCTAGGATGCCATGAAAAGTACCTTAAAAAACTGGATGCCCTCATTCTAGAAAACAAACATTTCAAGTTCCAAGGTAGGTCAGAAACCAGAGAATATATCATCAAATGGCCTTTAGGAATAAAACCAAGGGTTGCTTAAACGGATAATTAAGGATTTCCACTGTCTAATGTCAGCATCCAAAGAACTTCTTAGTGTTGATTTCTTGGCTGCCCCTGCCTTATACAGAAGAGTCCACAACACAGAGAAAACAGACGTGGAGAGAAAACTGAGCAGTCTTTGCCATATTTAAATGAGGAAATGGCTGCTCTCTTATTCAAAGCTTAGATAAGCAATTCTCACTTTGATATTGCAGTATTTAAGGAAGACATCCAAGGTATCTTCAGGAACTCCTCTCTTCAAATTTCTCTCCACTAACACCCAATTCCCCCCAAATTAAGATAAATTTACATTTTTAATCTAAAAATATGCATGACTCACAAATTTCATATAGTATGTTTAGTATCAAAATGAGATAATTTAAGTGTTTTATAAATGGAATAGTGCTAAATATATAAATAGCAAAACTTGTTCCAAAGATAGACATTTGAGATATATTGTAGAGTAAAAACAAGCAAATTACAAATTAATGCATATATGATATAATTTTTGAGGCAAACACACAAATGCATACACAATGTTTTCTATAATATTTACAAAGATTCAGCGACAGTAGTCTGGAAGGGACACGCCCGACTGAGATTCGTAATTACCCAGAGAAAGGATTAAACCACCCCACAGCACAACACAAAGCCAAGCATGGGCTCTACCAGCAGGTATCCTCAAAACAAGACGCATTTGAGCCTCAGAGAGAGACACACCATCTTCGTGGATTTAACCAAATGGGTTGGGCAAAATAGTAAATATATTTAAATAAAAGCAGCAGAAGATGGAAAAACAATCGCTTTATCTGATTGCCTTCTTTTCCCATTCTGATGATGACTTGGCCTCCACTCCTTCAGGCACAGAGATGCCAAAACTAAAAGTAAAACAAAGTAAAGATAAAAAGTTAGTTCTTGGCCAGGTCTTCCTGATCATTTGTGGGACCCTGGGGTAGAGTACAAACGATACCCATATGTAATATGTCTAAATATTTTTTATATAACATGTCTAAATATTTAAAAGTTATAAATCAAGCTAACACACTATTAAATGAAATATATTGTCCTCCTACCTTGACAAATATACCTGTAAAATGATGTGAAAAGCCAGGTCAAGCTAGAGTTCTGAGTTCCACACAAGGGTGAGGCAGTGTTAGGAGAGCTGGTTCGGGGTGGACAGGCCCCCTCCTTGTGTTCTTTAATGTAACTATTTATTGCTGCTGGCTCTGTCTCCATGGTGAGGGGCTTTGTGTACATGTGTGGACCACTCAACTCCATGTACCAGCTTCATCCATATATCCCTTTAAACAGCTGCCCCTTGGTCTCACCTTGGCCTGGTGTGTGCACTCCAGTGGTATGTTCCACCCTTGGAAAGTTGGGTCTTGGAAAAGGCCTATAGGGGCCCTGGAAATGGGCTTAGCTATTTGGATAGAGAATTTGGGGTCTCTCATTCCTTGAGTTTGGTCTAAAAGTGGAGTAAGTGGTGGACACAGGCTCTGGAAGGGCATAGACCTTGGGCCTCACCGACTCCTGACACTGAGAGGTGTGGTCGGAGGAAGGCCATGGTGAGGCTCTATAAAGCAAGAGTCCCAGGGCTGGGGTCCCTCTCGCACAGGTCTAAGTGTTATTCTTGGTTTGGGGGAGTCCTGGACTCAGGTCCTGAGGAGTTAAGGGATTTTGAGGGTCCTTTTACGACATTATGTATATAGAATCCAAATCAATGAATTAGCCTCATTCTTCTCACTTTGTATAAATCATGGATATTTAAAACTACGTGCAGCACAGGCCAGTGTCAATACTTTCTCCTCTATGAGAGATGCCCGTGACTAGGACAGGGACTGAGTGTTGAAACCAGACCCATCTCTTTCATCTCATCATCTTATTTCACTGGAATAGCAGGCAGAATTGGCCACACAGTGTAAATTGTTCTCTCTCCCTCTTTTGCAGAACAAGTATAAGTTACGAGTGCAAATGTGATTTCACTGCACCAACTATAGGATCTTGTTTCCTGTTTGTATTATTTATTGCCATATAACAAGTTACCCCCAAGTTTAACAGTTTGAAAAACAAACATTAATGATTTCATATGTATGTGTCAGGGATCTGAAAGTGCCTTGGCTAGGTATTTGTTGCTCAAGGTCCTGCACGAGATTGCATGAGATTGCAGCCAAGCTGTCCACCAAGGCTGCAGTCATCAAAAGATTCAACTGGAGCTGAAGGATTCACTTCTAAGCCCACTTGAATGGTTTCTTTCAGGTTTTAGTTCATCATAGTTGATTGGATCAAGAGCCTCAATTCTTTGTGGGGCTCAGTTGCTTGTCATACCTTACGGGCCTCCTGGAAGCCAAAGGAGAATTTCAGGAAGGAGAGAATGGTCAAGTGAGTCAACGGCATATGGAAAAGCGTACCACAGTCTAGCAGCTGCAATGTAAGTGGTGGCCTTCGCAAGAGTCGGCAACCATGTTACAATTGGTTGAAAAGCGGATGGGAGAAAGGGAAAGGGAGATAGGGCCAGTAGATCCCAAATCAGGTTCTGCCAACAGGTGCTGGGTTGGGCCACCTGGGGAGCTTATAAAAAAAAAAAATACCAATTTCTTATAGTTAATGATATTGTATTATGTATTTGAAAATTGCTATAAGAGTAGCTCTTAAAAGTTCTCATCACAAGAAAAAAATTATAACTGTGTGGTGATGGATGTCAACAAGACTCACTGTGATCATTTCACAATATATAGATATAGCGAGTCCTATTGTACACCACAAACCAATGTTACATGTCAATTATATCTCAATTAAAAAAATACCAGTTCCTAGCCCCCCCCTCCCATTTTTTTTTGCAAGGAAGCTGAAGCTGAAATTTTAACGACTTATTCAAATTCCTACACCTAGGAATCAGCAGAGCTGGAGTTGGAACTCTCCCTCATCTAGAAGCCAAAGTTCGGTGTAAGGAACATGCTAGCCTGGCTCCCCATAAACCCAGTGAACACGATTCCTGGCTCTCCACTGATGGTTCAGTGGACCTTGACAGACAAGCAAACAATCATGATGAAAAATCGGGTTAAAAAGTGTACAATGAGGGCCACCAACTTAAGCAGAGGTTCTGGGAATTTTCTGCATATTGGAATTATCTGGGATCTTTAAAAATACTGATGATGTGTCCCACTTCACTGATAAAAGTTGGTCTGGGATAACATTCGAGGCATCACACACACAAAAAATCCCTGCACAATTAATGTTCAGCCAAACTTGGGAACTACCAGTTTAATCCATCCATCTTTATAGTTTGGGGTGAAGTGGGTTTACAGAGCTATTTAATCCAGTGAAGGTTGTGGTGCCTCACTCTAGACACAAAATCTGGCATAGACTATCAGGTGGTTCGCAGATCCTAAGATCTTAAGGCACAAAATCTGGCATAGACTATCAGGTGGTTCAAAGATCCTAAGATCTTAAAATGCGAACCTGGAAACCCCTTTGGGGAAGGGGTATCTCGTAGTCCCCAGTGAAAATCCTCAGATACGGGAGTATACAACTCCAATCAGGGTGACTTGAACTCTCTGTCCCCTCCAGAATGGCGCTGGCCCTTCTCCTTCACAGAAGCTTTGGCGTTAGTATCACCAAGCCGAGTTCCCATAGGGCGAGGGCTCTGACAAGCAGCCATGACCCGGCCGTTGTGCGCACGTGTGCAAGCGTGCACGCTGGTGTGTACGCTGATGTGCACGCCAACACTGGGCCGCCGGCGAGCTTGCGTTTCCGTTATGGGAGCCAGGGCCGCCTCTGGCGCGGCTGCAGAGGCGCGCCCGGCGCCCCCTCCCGCCCAGTCCCCTCCTCCAAGCTCTCGCTCGCCCTCCTCCCTCTCCCGGCAGCGTGGGCCGCCTCCGGGTGCGCAGGGCAGCGCTCCGCACGCGAGCCCCTCCTGCAGCCGCCGCGGAGCGAGCTCAGCGCCGACCCCGGGGCGTGCGTGGTGCTGCGATTCAGCCACCGAGCGACCATGAGCCGCGGCGCGGGGTTCGCCGAGAGCAGGTGAGCGCAGCGCGGGGCTGGCGGTGGAGGGGGGAAGGGTGCAGGGTGGGGGAGGCGGTCGGAGGGAGAAAGCGTAGAGCCGAGTGGAGGACGGCTGGGCCCAATATCGCCGCGTACCTAAGGGACTCTGCCTTGGCACCGGACCTGGGCTCTGCCCCTGCCCTTCCGCGGGCGAGGCGAGGGCTCCACGGCCGCACAAACAAAGCGCCCTTCGACAGCGGCACCTGTCCCGCGTGGGGCACGGAGCCTGGGGAGGTGATGCGCCCCCCACTCGCGACCACGA